AACAGGCTGCCCAGGGAAGTGGTGGAGTCCCCATCCCTGGAGGTATTGAAAAGACCTGTAGATGTGGCACTTAGGGACATGGTGTAGTGGTGGACTTGGCAGCATTAGGTTAACGGTTGGAGTCGATGATCTTAAGGGTTTGTCCAACCTAAATGATTCTATGATTCTGTGACCTTTAAAGGTCCATTCCAACCCAAACCATTCTATGCTGGTGTGATCTCCTTGCTCAAGCTCGGAGAGTGCACGCCTGCCAGTGGCTCAGGAGGCAGAAACAGGGATGTGCACGCTGGAGAGTGAAGATGGGCTTTGGTTCAGCACAAGCTGGGTCCTACGTTTGTAGACCCCACTGGAATCGTCTTGAGCACCACAGCCAACAACATCTTCTCAGGATGGGGGTTCCCGAGTATGCGCTCAGCACAAGTTGGAGGGGAATGATCCTGGCCATAGGAAATATTATGATGAAAACCTTCCAGGAGAAAAAGCTACAGCATGGGGAATATCCTCATGGCTGAGCTGGGAAGATGAGGGCCATGGTTGGTGTTGGAAAGACTTGTCCCAGTATCCAGCCTTGCCCTTCTCTTCCCACCTAACTTCGGACAAACCTCAAGGCTTCTGTGGTCCCCTTAAGGCCAGTGGAAACAGAGAGGTATCTCCATGTCCTTCTAAGAAGGATATCTGCATCCAGTGAGTTATCCAGGACTAGATGCACTTGCTTGGGAGCCACCTGGACTCAAATACAGTCTCCTTGGGGAGAGTACCCCACGAGCAGTACATCCCGCAGGCACCTCTGTCTTAAGGTGGTCACTTAGCTGGTCACCCAGGCTTCTTTGAGGAGAGAAACAGGTGACCGTGGGTTGTGGTTTGCAGAAGGGACCATTCTGCAACCGTCCAGCCCTGGTAGGGCCCACCAGGAATAAGCTGCTCTGCAGACTGCCCTGCTTGGAGCAGTCAGAGTGGTGGCACCTTGAATGGCCTTGGCTTCCGCAGCGGTCCACCCCTGAAGCATAGACAGTTGTGATGCACGAGATGGTGCACGGATGTGGGCGTTGAATGGCCACAAGCAGTGCAAAGGTGCTACAGCACCGAGGGGACCATGCCTGATGGTGACAGGGTCTTAACAGAAGCTTTCTTTGTATCTCCTTTCCTGAATCATACGATCACAAAACAATGTAGATTGGAAGGGATCTCTGGAGAGCTCTGCTCTAATCTTCCACTCTCTATTAGACCAACTAGACCATGTTGTTCATGGCCTTGACCAGTGAAGATGTGAAAGTCCCCAAGGAGGGAGATCCAAACACCTTTCTCGTCTCTGTTACAATATTTAACCATCCTCATGGGGAAAAGAGCATTTTCTGCTGCCTAATGGGAATTTTCCACAGCGCACCCTGTGCCCATTTCTTCATGTCCTTGTGATGTCCGTTTATCTCCTGAATTAGCTCTGGATGAAGAGATGTTTGCTTTCTCCCCACAGGCTCTGTTACCATCAGACCTCCGCAGCCTCCGCCGCTGCTCCCATTGCTGGTCTCGATCATCCCTCCCATCTCGATGCTGGTCTGTGGGGCTCTCCTGTACCAGAGGAGGAGGCAAATGCAAACCAGGGCTTTTAATTCCCCCTTAGGTGAGCTCCGCTGCGGGTGAAGAGGGCAACGGAGTTTGCAGAAGTGTGTGGTTGGAAACAAGTTTTGTTCAAAACCTTGATGTCAGCAGAGTTGGGGCAGAAGATTTTTTTTTCCCGTGGCTCACGTTGAAAGGAACTTCCTTTTCTGGTTTGACCTTTTCTCTCCCCATCCCTTTCTCCTTTCTCTTTCTTTCCACTCTTCCCCTTTCACTTTGACACCATCTTCCCTGCTGGGTTACGGACACGCTGGGAGGTGGGACAGCCCTTGAAGCCTCCTCGAACACTGCCTGTGCTTCCCTCTGCTGCCTGCGCTGCCTGTACATCAGACAGGAGCTTTGAGCAGAGGATGGCTCTATGGATTCCTAGCTCCCCGTTGGCAAGGGATGTTCCACTTTTAGCCCGAGGGGTGAGAAAAGACCAGGAATTGTGTCTGTTCCTGAAGTTTTTGGGCTGTGGTGGAGACTCTTGGAAAGCGGGGTTGAGCGGTTGGGGTTGCCTGTGTTGAACATCCCCATGTTGTCTTGTTGAACGTCCATCACGTTGATGAAAGGTGCTGTGTGTGGACCAAATGCTGGATCAGGGGTGGTTTCTGCGAAGCAGGCTTCACGTCTGAGTGCTGGCAGGGGCGATGGTGGTATGCCCCGTGCTGCCACTGTTGCTGGCCAAGCCAAAGTGATTCGTGCCGTCTCCAATGGAGCGAGCATCCTCGGCTGGCCTTGTTAAAAAGGGGAAAATTCAGGCTGTGTAGAGCAAACCATCGACTGAATCACCGTGCTCTGCAGGTTTTGTGCGCATGGAGGAGCTGGTTGTCTCTGACATGTCCATCTCGACGCCTGGAAAAGAGCAAGCAGCAGTCAAGGTGGCTCCTGCTGGGGATGCCGACAACGAGAGAGCTCAGCACAGCCTGTGACCAGCCCAGACCTAAAACTCCAGTGATGCAGCTCCGTCCCAGCACACGGCTCTTTCACCCAGGGCCCTGGACCACCTTGTAAGAGCTAGGTCACTAGATCCACCACCCATCTCCATGCCCACCTCGGTCAGTTACCCCGAGCGATACAAGGCGCGACACACACCGTGCGGCACCAGCGGTCTGCACGCAGAAGACATTTGATGTGTAGAAATTTTAAATTTTTTTTTTTTCAGATTTCTCTTTCAAATTTTTTTTTTTTTGTGCATTTGTGAAAATAAAAACATTCTCTAAGACTCAAGCAGTGTTTTACTCTTGGAGGTTTTTTCTTCTTCTCTTTCAAATTTTTTTTTTTTTGTGCATTTGTGAAAATAAAAACATTCTCTAAGACTCAAGCAGTGTTTTACTCTTGGAGTTTTTTTTTCTTCTTTTTTTTTTTATAGCCAGTCAGTGGAGGCTGCAAAGTTTACCCTGAAGTATATGCCAGGGGCTTGTTTCCCTACAGCGGTTAAGTCGAACAGTTTTGCAAACTCAACCTGAAAGCTCAGTTTAGGCCTCACGCAGATATTTAGAGCCATCCGAGATGCCCTAGTTCTAGGACATTGATACGGGACTGGCAAACGTGACAAGGACTTCACTAGATGCATCTGTACGGGGCCACTAGATCTCGCTGACCTCTTCCATCTGCTGTATTCCCAAACACGCTCCTGTGCCTTGTGTCCTTGGACATCAGTCTCCCGGGGCCTCTCAGAGGACAGGGGCTTCTTGTGAAGGGCTTGGAAGGCATGGAGGTGCGAGTCAGCCATGCAGAGGGATGCTGGCAGGATGTTTAAGAAGCTCTGGTCATAGAACTAAGCACTGGGTACCACCACGGCTCGTGCCAACCCAAGTGGTATGGGACTACGAGCAGCCAAGCAGGACGCTATGCAAGCATGCTGCCGTGTGTTGGCAGGACAGTCCTGCTCATGAAGGACCACAAAAATAGATAGGTAGCCAACCAGAGGGAAACAGGACGAGTGATGTTATAAATAAGGTTGCTGTGGTGGGGTAAAAGCATGAACATCTGCAAGGCAGGGGAAGAGAGGAACCGGGATGCATGCTGGCTCGCAGGGGTTTAGAAGATGAAGGTCTGGAGTGCCCTGAGAGGATTGACCGAGCTGGAAAACAGAAGATGGCTTGCATGATGCATGGAAAGCATCTGCCAAGGGAAACAAGGAGTGCATGAAGAGCCCAAACAGGCCAAAAGCTCGGAGAACTAATGAGTAAAAGTTGATCCTACAGCATGCAGGACACTTGCAAAGGAGGACCAGACAAGACTATGACCAATCTATGGCTGTGGTATGTACGGAGGAGCGTTTAAGGCTTGTGGAAGCGCTTCTCTGAGTAGTAACTCTTCGTGTTAAATTTGTAGAAAGCTTTGCGTGAACATTTCATAGTCCAGTTGATGGTGATGTTGGGAATTTTCAGGTAATACCTGCATGGATGTGGGTCGGTCCTGGGCTCTATTGCACTAAAAAGGAGTTGCCCAGGGCACACGCTCCCTAGTTTCTGCCACTTTTCCAGGTCCTATGCTCACGTTTCTGGTGTTCCCTCAATCTGAAGGTCAACGGCACCAGTCTTCCTCGTGCAAGGGGTGTTGGCAGTGGGTCATTAGGAGTCCAAGCTTTTTCTGTGGAAGAGTGTGATGTCGATGGGGTTTCTTCTTCTGCCTCACCTTCTTCCATTTTTGGATCCACATGTTTTCTGACATACCTTCACACTTTGTTCTTCCCTTATCTGCCCACAAATCAATATTGCACTCAAACTGTCTGTATATGGGGCTTTTTCTCTGTGTTGGGTACTTGTTCTTTGTTACCCCTAAAACTGTTTTTGTCCAGATTCAGGCCTGCAAGTTGATGATCGGTGAGCTGCTGATAGCCTTGGGCTTTCCACTGTGCCCCATCTCTTATCATCCCATGCCTGTCCTCTACACTGACTTGTGTGTTTCCATTTCTCAGGGCTTCTGCTGTAACACCAGCTTTATGTTTCTCCCTGGCTTTGAGAGCCCCAGGACACCCCTAGATGTCCTGCGCTCCATGGGCTGCTTCTGGAGGGTGGTAGGGACTACAGCAGGGCTGGATCCTTCACCCCTTATCCAGTCTCCTAAAGCTATCTCAGCAGGTCTTGTCCCATCGGCCGCCCAGGTCCTGGCACCATGACCTGGGGTATGCAACACATGGTCCCTTTCGTGCTGCAGAAACACCCCTTAGTCAGCTGAAACACACCTTATTTCAGGCAATTTGAGATGAAAACATACATCAGAATTAATAGTTCTGTCTTAGGCCACGAGGACATCCTGTGCTGACCCCTGACCGCCTTGGTCTCGCTCTCTGCTAATGAGCAGGGTGATGGTCATTCCCCTACTGACCCTAATGAGGGTAATGGAGATGCAGCAGGCTTTGCAAAGTTAGCTTTTCTTTCTTCTTGTTCCTAAAGCTGTGACCCAGGGTTACGCTCTACCTACCTCCACCCTGAGGAAGCACAGTTCCCTTTTCAGCCTCTTCCCGGCACGGTTTAGATGAGTTCAGCTCCAGGGTCCTCCCTTGCTGGGTGGTCATCTCAGGCAGCTGCAGAGCCTCCCGCTCCTTCATCTCCCCTGCGGATGAGCTGTTCGGGACACACCCCTGGGTTGTTCCAGTTCAATGCAACCTGGATATTTGACCAGGGATGCTCGGCTGGCTCTTTGCAGAGGGCTGGGAGGTGAGACAGGAGATTCAGCCACCTATGTGATAGGACAGGCAGTCCACCCACCACCCAACATCTCCTTGGGCACTAACTGTGACCCTACAACCTGCCCATCCCTCAGGTTGTGTTTAAAGCCCATGGAGGTGGCAAGAAGGGGTTAGGAGTGGGTTAGAGCTCTTTTTAAGGGTAGAAATGGGGTCTGGGTAGCTGAGTGCATGTGTCTAACGGCACTGAGGGTCATAAGGGCACCTTGCAAAAAGGAATTGACACCCATGCACAGGTCTCTGAAACATCCAAGGTTGGGGTGTGCTGATCCTACAGGCATTTTTCCAGCCTGTCCCTGCAGTCCCTTTCAGTGCCCTCTGCAAATGGGCCCTGGGGGTAACTCCGGTCCATGCCCTGCTGCCCCAGGACACTGACACTTCTGACCCATCAGTCACGCTGCCTTCTCCGGGGGGTGATAAATAACGCAATGGCCCTTGCTAACAGAGATACTTCTCCATGGGATATCTCCTGAGTATCACTGCGGTGATGATCCCCTGGGGGAGGGAGCTCTTTCAGGAGGCCCTCGGGGGAGGTTCAGTATGGAGGACACCGAAGGATGGGCAGATGAATGGGTGGTGGTGGGGGCAGTTTCTGGGCAGGCAGCGATTTGCTTCGTATCCTCCTTCCCTACTCCTCAGTTGCGACCACAACACTGAGCGCAGCTTAGGTCCCTCCCCAGTACCATCTCCTGCCCCCTCCCAGCCCTGGTGGGGCTAGACTGCCCCGGAGGGTCTGCGAGAGCAGCTGGAGCTGCTTGGCTGCCTGTGCCGGATCCAGAACCGCAAGAATCCTCAGGGGCTCTGGGGTGGATCTGAAGGGCTGCCAGGGCGTGTAGCAGCCCAAATGTCCAGGGATGGTGGTGCTGGGGAGTCCTACAGCCTGGCTGCGGGGAGAGGGGCATCAGGTGTGTTGGAGAAAATCATGTAATTGCCAGCATCAGGCCACTTATACTAAAAATTTTCAAGCTGTGAGCTTCTTCCACCTCTGTTATGGCTGATGGATTTTCCCCAGCTCAAGTTATTCTCTGGGATCTCTTCTTTACCTTTATCTAGGCAGAGTTTGCAATAGATTAATTCATCATTGAAGGGAAGGATGAGAGATTTCGGATGCTTCAGCTCAGCAGAAGATGCTGAGATGTGAAGGCCAAGGGGTAGCACAAGATGAGTCCGCATTGCATCAGCCGTGGTGGGCTGAACCATGGAGATGTTGGCACGTGCAGACCCCAGTCATTTGCAAAAACCCCGAGTGCTCAAGTGCAGATACCTGTGCTGGGCTGCCATTACAGTCACTGGGAGCAGTCAGCCGAGAAAAATGAGCCACACAAGAAGATCCTGATGGCTTCTCCCATTGCATCCCCCACCTTGCAGAGAACAGTTCGTGACGCTCAGCTCTTGGCACATACATGACCTCTTCGCACTCCCTGGAAGGTGCAAGCAAGTTTGGAGACTGCGAGGCAGTCACAGGATAGTGTTTCCAACTGCTTGCCCATGAATAACAAGGCGATTTTCTGCCATCTAGCTATGCATCTGTGCAATGCAATGCAACGAAATTCATGGTGCACCATGTCTGGCTTTGAATGTTTTCCTTTTCCAGTTGGCAGCTGCAAATGAGTTCTCCAAAATCGTCATTTCTGTGTGCTGCAGCAGCCAAAAAAACCCAACAAAATGTTGCAAACCCTAAGAAGAGCATTGAGGGCAAGGCAGGGGGTATAATTTTGCTGTGACGTACAACCCTGGTTCTTCCACATCTTTTGTAGTGTGTGTAGTGCTGGTCGCCATGTCTCAGGAAGGGTGTACTGCAAGTACAAGGTCCAGAGGCTGCACAAAGGGCTGGGAGCTTCTGGAAGCTGCTGCCTCGGGGAGAGTTGCGGGGGCTGATGCTGTCAACTAGTTCAAAGAGAAATGAGGCAAAAGTGTGAACAATGTGTCTAAAAGCAGATGCTAAAGGGAACGTGCTTAACGCAAGAAGTCTAGATGCTGGGAGGCTGGAGGCCATCAGACGTGGCCTGGTTTGCATGTTGACCCTGTCTCCTGTGCCACTTATGGGGTGGGTTGGATCAAACACTTCTCAGACCCAGTGGGAAATATTGTGTAACTTACCTTTAGCTCTTACTTAGGAGTTAAAGTAAGAGTTAAAGGTAAGTTACACAATGATCTCTTGGTCAAATACTTGGTCAAATTGGGCATCCCCCAACCCCAAACTTGCTTCCGTGTCTCTGCTTCACAAGGACCCTTAAAAATGGGTCCGTGAGGGATGTCAGCAGGGCTTGCAGTCTAAGTCTCTCCAGGCTGCGATGCCTGCAAAGCTCTTGCACCCTCCCACCGCTGACAGCATGAACACACAAACCCCTTTTCACTTGCACTGAACAAATGCGGTGAGGGTTGGGTTTCAAAATGCAGCTGCTGGGATAGCAATGCTGAAAGTGGAGCAAGGTTTGGTTCCCCCCCCCCGGTGTACTGTCTTACTAGCCAAAAATGATTTGTTTACCCTGGACATCAGTGATTTCATGAGCATCATGCATTTCATATCTTGCAAGACTTCACAACCCAGCCCATCGTATGCAAGCCTACAGGGATGCAACTCACTCGGTTCTTCTGGCTTCACAGTTATTGCATTGTGCTTACGATGGAGCTGTTGGACTATCCAGGCTCATGTTTCCAGGTTAAAGGGTACTAGTAGCTGTGCAAGCAAATCACGGGGGCAAGACGTCATGCCTCCATGCTGCGTCACGCCAAGGGCTACACCTTAATTAACTGGGGGGGGTGGGGGTGGGTGACAAACCTTCCTGCAGCCCCTAAGATGATGTTCAGACTACAGGGAGCTGGAGGTGGGCAGAGAAGCCTTCGGGGCTCCTCTTCTTGGCATGAGCAATGAATTGAAAAGATGGGGGAAGCTCTCTTTAGGAAAGGCTTAAACTTTGCAGCAACAAAAGGCTGAAAATTAATGGTCGTCTTCCACCGTAAAGCAGTAAGGATTTTATACAGGGGCCAGGGTGTATCCATCTGAGCAACGTGGACCGCGTGGGGCCAGAAACTGCCCTCTCCAAGTGCCCGGCTCAGCCCTGGGGTGCAGGCTCCTGCCACAGTGGGGAAGATGCCAGTACTGTGTGCACAGGCAACCCTTCCCCGGGGCCATGTTCACCGCTGGGAGCAGCACGGAACATCCTTTCAGGACTGCTTTTTTGCTGAGACTCTTTATATTTGGTTCAGCTCGCCTTGCACAGCCGTGGGAGCCTGTGGCCCTGGGGAGCTGGCAGCCCAGCATGGACTGAGTGGGATGTAGCCGTTTCCCATCTCATGGTCATAAAGAGGGGTGGTGTGCCCCACGGGGTCGTCTCAGAAATGTCGATGCCTGCTGTTCATTGTGACTAGTGTAGCGGGGGCTGCAGGCTGGATTTGAGTGGAGACAGCCCAGGGAGGGGGTTTGAGGAGAGGACTCATCTCTGGAGGATGGGTGACCTTCCTCCCTGGCCAGAAGCTGAGAAGGGAAAGGGGCTGCAGCTGTGCCCAGCTCCATCATCTCTGATGATGGCACGGCCAGGAGCCCACTCGGTCCAGTGTCCTGGTCCCAGGGCTCGGCGATGCTCTGCTTTCCTTGCACCAGCCCCAGGGTGCGGGCAGGCTCCTTGCCCCGTAGCCATGCCTCCAGCCCCAGCCTTGGGAGGCAAAAGCCCGCAAGTCATCCCAGAGTCCCTGTGACAACCCATTCTGCTGCTTGCAGGTGACAAGACTATTCTCTGAAAACCCGAATTACAGTACAAGCATGGGGTTGTTTAGCACAAACCCGGGGGGTTTATGCTAAACCATCGCCCGCCTCAGAGATCAGTCTGTAAATTCCCCAAATTCCCTTAAACTCAGGACAAGAATCAAAACAATGGGGGTGCCCAAAACCTGAGCGTGTTTGCAGCTTAATCTCAGCAGCTACGGCATGGTTTCTGGACCACCCTCCCTTATTCTTTATATTATGTGATACTCCCAGAATATAGGCTGTGCATTTTATATGCCTGATGGCTTCATCGACGTGACTTTGGGACAGTCTCCAGCCAGAGCATGCTATTCAATGTACACAACCCGTCAAAACTCCTTATTTTCGCAGGGGAAAGGAGGCTTCTTGCCCTCCACAGGCACCCTGGGGATATCTCTGTATAGCGGGGGTTCACCTTTGGACACCTGCAAGATGAGGCTCGGCTTTTCCCGAGGGTGCAAACCTCCGTAAATGAGCGTTGCAAACCCTCCTGCTGCTGGATCCGCAGCCCGGAGCTGGCTGGGGACTGGGGAGGTGGGGATGAAACAGGGCAGACGCAGCTGGGAACAGGGGGAGCCTCCTAGCAGACATGGGTGCTGGGGGGGGGGCACTTAAACCACTTAAAACCAGAGGGCAAAATCCTGGGGACAGCAGGGAGGAGGGGTCAGTGTAGGAGGAGGGATGAGCGCCAGGCAAACACGGGGCACGTTGCTGCAGAGGAGGGGACAAAGCTGCTCTCGCCACCTTCCCAGAAGTGACAGCACCCAGCTCAGCTTGCAGCTCGCACTGGGACGGTCACCTGTCCTACGGCGTATGTGACAGGCATGGGGTTTTCAGGACGTTGCCTCCTGTCCCTGCACAGCAACCTGGCTGGCTTTGCCAGAGCAGGGCTCCTCATCTACCTGGCGTGCCTCTGCGGTGAGTGGCTCTTGCATGGGGAAGGAGCATCCTAAGAGAAAGACGGGGTCGGAGATCTGCAGGAATGGGGGGGACTGGGCTTGCAGATGGATGGGGCAAAGCCTCCTTCGACCCACCAGACTTTAAAAGGAAGAGAAAGCGATGGATGGGGAAGGAGACCTCGTTAGCGGGGTAATTATCCTGGCCTCTGCACTACTGCCTTTGCACAGAGCGGTTGGGAAATGCCTGGAGCCTTACCAACCGGTGACAGTCAGAACCAGAAAGTGCTTATTTGTCTTGGCCACCTCTTCAGGGCCAGCCAGTTCGTTTACAAAGGGCACAAAGTCCTCTTCCCCCCAGCACAAACAGGAGCATTTATTCTGCTCTGCGACGTGCAGACACGAAGACTTTCCAGGAGGTGACAAATTGTGCTGCAAGTGGGATGCCAAGGAGCTTTTCTTATTTTTTTTCTGCTTCTGCCTGCCTTGTTTTGCATCCCATTCTCCAGCGGATGCTGCAGCCTCTACCCAGACCCCAACCTCGGCATTCCAGAGTGGCTCAGCCACTCCAGCGCTTACTGCCATGGCGATTAAACACCTCATATTTACCTTTCTTGCTGTAGTTTCAGCCCATGTAATGCCCTCCTTTAAGACACAGCTCCACTTGGCTAGGGACCCTGGGCTAATTTGCTGTGCAGGCTCTATCACATCATGGAAATCACTAATTAAAGCATCAGGCTGCACACAGACAGACCCCCCCACCCCTTTCCATGGGGTGGCTGGCAGCTGCTCTCTACATACAGTTTCCCGGAGTTTTCAGTCTAGCCGGCAGTGTTTTCCTTTTAATTTATTGGGAATACTAAGCAAAAAAATATCCGAAGCCCCTTTAAAGATAATTGTCTTTCAAAAAGGGGGTTTGCAGAGCATTTTCTCTCCTGGACTTGGATATTTTGTTTTTTTTTTGGTTTGTCTTTGAGCCAAAGGAGAAGCACGTCCATGATTCACGTAAGCCATTGCCGTTCGCAGAGGCTCCATGAAGCTCATGCAAGCAACACAGCCTTTCCCGGTGCTGTTCTTCCACACCAGACCCTCTCCGTATCCCTCTTGCAGACCTGGTTGCTTCCCAGCGGGTTCCCCTCCGCCTGTCAGATGGCCCACACCGCTGCGCCGGCAGGGTCGAGGTCTTCTACGAGAACCAGTGGGGAACGGTGTGCGATGACTACTGGGACCTGGAGGATGCTGGCGTGGTGTGCCGGCAGCTGGACTGCGGCACGGCACTGTCAGCCCCCGGGGCCGGGCATTTCAGGGCAGGGTCTGGTCCCATCTGGCTGGACGACGTCAACTGCATGGGAACGGAGGTCGCCCTGTCTTACTGCAGGATGAAGGGCTGGGGAAAGAACAACTGCCACCATGGTGAAGATGCCGGTGTGGTGTGCTCAGGTAACGCCCTGTGGAAATCATGGGGTGGAGGGGGATGATGACACGTGGTCCACAAAGCAACTCCCTCGCAAGGAGTGGTGCCCCGCAGTTTTCCAAAACCTCCCTGCGGCACAGAGCACCCACGGCCCCAGCAAGGGATGGTTTTGTGGTTTGTCCCATACAAGGGACTGCAGGCTAGGGAGCAATTTGGGAAGCAGGCTTGGAAATATTATCTGTGCTAACTCCACCTTCCTGAGATGCTGAACCACCTCTGGGGGAGGCACAGGGACCCCTTGCACACCACACCCCTCCGCAGTAAGCAGGACCCCACGTGCCTTGCTTTGGCTGCGTGTTTTGGGGACACGGGCAGAACTAGAGACCCGTCGTGTTTTGCAGGCCAGCACTGTGAGACACAGCCTTAGGCAGGGGAGGGAACGGCCAGGAGGAGACACCCAGATTCCTCCTCCCTATCACCAACACGAGAGACAGGATGGTTTCCATGCCCCTGCCTCTGGCAAGCTGCAATCAGCTAGAAAACACTATTTTATGGCCACAAACTGTGAGGCGCCAAAAGCTTGGAGCTCCAAAAGCTTGGAGCTTTGGTGGCTGGTCGAGGTGCAGGTGCTCACGGCAATTGGAAGATCCACCGGTGTCAGAATTGTCCCAACAGACATGGGTGTGCTGAGCCCCCTTGGTTGTCACTTTCACCTGCAAAGAAGACGTAGTGCCCCATGAACACCAGGAAAAAAGCTTTCCTCCTTCTTCTGTCCCGGCATCCTCAGGATCTCCAGCCACAGCTGGAAAGGCCACAGGTTGCTGGGACCATCGGATTCGTATCGGTTTCACAGCCGCAGCCAAGGGCTGGGCAGCAGACACCTGGGTGGGTGCTTGTCCCCCTTGTCCCATCTCCTACAACATGCCATGCTGGCACTCTTCAGCACACAGGTCCATGAAAATAAGGAACAGCAGGGATAACAGGAAGGGAACAATGCCTTTTGGGCAGCACGCAAAAAGTGCACTCGTGTGGGCACCAAGGAGGGAGGGGAAGCACTGGGCTGGGTGCTAGATGCTCCTAGCAAGGTCCCAACCCACCACGCTATGGGGACCAGTAGCCCACGGGCTGTGCAAAGATGGGGGTGGGGGTGGGGCTGAAGTCTTTTCGAAGAAGGGGCAGTGGCAACGGGGGTCTGCAGAAAGCCTCTCCCTTTGGGGGCTGCTGCGGTCACATGAGGGGTTCATGGATGGCCACCCAGGAGGACTCAAAAAAAGGATTGCAGCTGTTCATGGTTTGCTTGTGCTCATGTTGAATGTGCGTGGGCTCTGAGGTTGCACAGCTGGTTTTTCCCACAGCAGAGATGTTTAGCCCCAAACTTTAGATATTCCTCAATGGCTCTTTGTGGACATGGGAACCCCCCTGTGCAAAACACAGGGGAGCACCCTCCAGCACGGGTCTCACCATGGTGGCAAGAAGAAGCACCTTGGGGGAGACCTGGTCTGATGCTCCCCTTGTATCTCATGTCACGAGCAGGCACAGCCACCAACACACCAGCTCATCTGCGCCTGGAGAATGGCCCCAGCCGCTGCGCAGGGCGCGTGGAGGTGCTGCACCACCATCAGTGGGGGACAGTGTGCGACAACGGCTGGAGCCTGGTTGAGGCAGTGGTGGTCTGCCGGCAGCTGGGCTGTGGGACGGCCGTCTCTGCCCTGGGCTTGGCTCACTTCGGGCAGGGGTCCGGCCACATCTGGCTGGATAATGTGAACTGTACAGGGACAGAAGCTGCCCTCTCCGAATGCCAGGCCAGGCCGTGGGGATCCAACAGCTGTGACCACCGGGAAGATGCTGGTGTGGTGTGCTCAGGTGGTCCATGTTATTTGGAATGAGTACCGTGCGGGTTGGGGTGCAGGATCAGCTCAATCGAGTCCCAGGTACTACTGACCTCAGGACCCCCCATACTCACTGCTGACCCCAGGACCCTCCCATAGTCACTGTTGACCCCAGGACCCTTTGTCAGGCTCCAAGCCCCAAGCTCTGGAGCTGCGACCCCTCTTTATCCACCCCAATGAGAAGCAAATCCCAAGCCAGCCCTGTCGGTGTAGCAGATGGAGTCTGCACGCACGGAAGGGATGCTCTGATTTTCCTGCGGCTTAGCACGTTGCAAAGCCCAGCTGGAGCCGTGGATGACAGTCAGGCATGAACATGACCCTTTGCACCCTTCACAGAACCAGACACTTCGGGACAGCTCCCACTGCGGCTGGCAAACGGCTTGAACAGCTGCCTGGGGAGAGTCGAGGTCTTTCACGACCAGAAGTGGGGGACCGTGTGCGACGACACCTGGGACCTCCATGCCGCCGCCGCCGTGTGCAGGCAGCTGGGCTGCGGGATGGCGCTGTCAGCACCAGGCTCAGCTCATTTTGGGCCAGGTTCGGATCCCATCTGGCTGGACAGTGTTCACTGCACGGGGACCGAGTCCGCCCTCACTGAGTGCGAGCTGAGCAGCTGGGGAGAGCACAACTGTGGCCACAGCGAGGATGCTGGCGTGGTGTGCTCAGGTAACACCAAGCTGCAGGGACTGGGACGGGTGAGCCAGGATGGTTGGTGTCTATCCCAGGAGGGACTTGACAGGTGCTGGAGCTGCTGTTCTACCCCAGGGCTGTGCCAGCTCTCTCCTCTCTGCTCATTCTTCCCAATCCCCAGCATCAGAGCAGAAGTCAGCTTTCACCCAGCCACTTGGCTTGGAGTTGAGCAAAAATGCCACGCTGCCTAGACAGGAGTTGTGCACCTAACTCATTGATTTAATCTAGACTATGTCCCTCTAGCTCATCAGTGATGATGCCCATCAATGATGGGCAAAGCCTTGCTTAAAAAAAAAATATCCAGGCGCACCTTTCCTAGACACAGGAGTCAAGTGCCACCAGGGAGGTGGGTGTGGGTCTCCCACGAGCCCCATCTCACAGATACCAGCCCTGTGGTGACGTTGCTTATTAAGGCATCTCGTACAAGGGGCTAGAGTAAGGCAATCCATCCCTGGTCACGGGTGCTGGTGGCTTGCCTTCAGCAGGGCACCGGAAAAAAATGCCCGGGAGCAAGTCAGAAGCTCTCATCGCCATGAGGATGCCTACGGAGAATGGGCAAGTGTGTGGGTGTGCAAAGCAGTGTGCAGACCCATGGGCAGATGCACGCAAGCTTCTGGCCACCATCCTCTCAGGCTCTCTGTCCCCATGCTATGCATTCGAGCCAGCAAAGGTGCAGCAGGCACAGGCAGCACATTGCATACACGCCTGTCCCCATGCACATGGGTGCCTTGCACACCCCTCTGAGGCTCTCTGCCCCTGTGGGTTCAGAGGGGCCGTCTCACCTTCTTGCGCTCTTCCTTGCAGGCACAGACCCCTTGCAGGTGCGGGTGCAGGACGGCCCCGGTCCCTGCGCGGGGCGGGTGGAGGTGCTCTACAACGCTACCTGGCATGGGGTGTGCGGCAGCAGATGGAGCTTGCTGGAAGCTGGGGTGGTCTGCAGGCAGCTGGGCTGTGGGCCAGCCCAGTCAGCACCCGTTGGAGCCCAACTCAGGCAGGGGGACGACCCCTTGCAGGTGCGGGTGCAGGGCGGCCCCGGTCCCTGCGCGGGGCGGGTGGAGGTGCTGGAATGCTCAGTTGCCCCAAAAAGGGTTTTATGTGGGACTGGGAGGCTGGCAGCACTGGTGGGACATCAGTGATGGGAATGACCTTGCAAGGGAGCTGGGAGGGGGAATTGTGCAGCAGGTACAGCTGGCACATGGCATGTATGCCCATCCTTGCACACATGTGCACCTTGCACGCCCCTCTTCATCTGCCTGCTGTGTCAGAGGGGCCATCTCACCCCTTTGCTCCTTCTTGCAGGCACAGACCCCTTGCAGGTGCGGGTGCAGGACGGCCCCGGTCCCTGCGCGGGGCGGGTGGAGGTGCTCTACAACGCTACCTGGCATGGGGTGTGCGGCAGCAGATGGAGCTTGCTGGAAGCTGGGGTGGTCTGCAGGCAGCTGGGCTGTGGGCCAGCCCAGTCAGCACCCGTTGGAGCCCAACTCAGGCAGGGGGACGGCCGCGCCTTGCTGGAGGGGCTCAGCTGCCGGGGGACTGAGTTGCTGCTCCTGGAGTGCCAGCAGAGAGAGATGGGTCTGGGGCCGTGCAGGCAGGGCTTGGCAGCCAGCGTGGTGTGTGCAGAGCAGAAAGGTAAGCACCGGGATCCCCCGTCATCCACTCCGTCTGCATCAGGGCCAACCTGGTGCAGACACATGGTGGGGTAAAGGCTCCTATCTCCATCCCAGCCTTGGCCTCCTCCCAGGCAGGCAGAAGCGTTGCCATAAACCTTTTTGCTGGGAGCCGTCAGGTGGGCAGGGTAGAGGCACCTGAAGGCAGCAGCTGGAAGGCAGCGGAGTGGGACCAACTGGGTGAAGGCATCTCAGTGGGCATGGAGTCCCCGGTGGACACACTCTGTTTGCATTAGCCCAACAGGGGTGGGGTGCCCATGCACCAACCCTCCTGAAGCAGAGCGTGAGCTGTCACTCCTGCCGATGAGGGGTCAGCCCCAGCGCCCAGGAGGGCAGTGAGGGACGATGTTGCAAGTCCCCAAAAACATGCAGCAGAAGGGAAGGGTGAGAGGGGCAGAGAGGGTCAGGCCATCCAACCAACCCCCTCTGAGCTTCACTCTCCCTGCAGACCTTATACAGTCCTGCTCGGTGCTGGCAGGCCTGCTCAGCATGGGGGCAATGGTCTGTGGGACCCTGTTGGTCCTCTACCTGTGGACAAGGTGTGGAAGACAGGCTGGACGCTCCCCAGGTAAGAGCAGGACCACAGCATGTGGTGCACCTGGCCTGCTTGTGGAGCTGGCTGCACTCCTGGCTGGCATGGATGCACCCCAACCTGGGGCTGGGGATTGCACCCTCCATGTACCACCCTGTTCCTTCATTTTGCAGACAAGCCACTTAAAAAGGAGACAGAGGACACCGCGACATCATCAGAGGCATAGGCAGCCATGCTCCTGATGTCGAAGGCAAGGCCCCCTCAGGACCCCAGAAGACCCAGTTCTGTGAAGCCAGAAAAGCAGAGCAGTCACTGCGACGGTCAGCAGAGAGGACCCCTCTGGCAGAACCGAGACCCCTGCCTGTGTGCCCCACAGCCCCCAGATCACTGTGCTGAGCCTCTGTGGGTCCCAGTTCCTCCATGCAGCACCATGAAGTCCCTCAGTCTCCAAGCAAGGTCTTCTCAGAATAACCCCTATCTGGTCCTCCGGGTAGGCTCCAGCATCCTAACCCCATCTGCACAGACTCCTCTTATTCCCAGCCCTACAACCGCTACAATCCCTATTCCCAGCCCTATAGCCCCCTATAATCCCTACAACCCCCTGCAGAGTCATCTGCAGTGGCACCCAGTGTCATCACCCTCACCGCATTCCCAGGAGGATCATACCTTTTCCCCTAATCTCCCATGGAAGTGAGGATTACTTCCTGATCCAGGAGCGAGCAAGCAGGGTGCTCTCCCGCACTGTACGCAACCACCTTTGCAAAATGAGGAGCGCACTTAAAAGCCCATCCAGAACAGGGTGAGGAGTCCCTCACCCATTTTATTTATTCAATCCACTTTTGAATATCAGTAAAAACCCCGAAACCCAAAAGAATGAGAATGCAGCATTATACAGATTCAGGGATATGGAGTGACTTGGTGAGGTGGAAGCGGTGGAAGAACAGGCCCCTTGGTTATAGAGGGACTGTAGATGATCGGGTCAGATACAGGAGACTCAAGATTGCTAACGCTGGGTGAGATACCACCAACAAGGAAGGGTCATGTTCCTGATGGAGCAACCCATGGAGTCAGGTCTGAGCCCCAAACCATCCAACACTTTGGAGAAGCCAAGAGGGGCCATGGTCAGAGGAACGTCCCAGGGCCATGGGGAGGGATTGAAGGGACCACAAGCTTGACCACCAAGGTGACCAACACAAGGTTGTGATGAAGGCGTGCCTTGCGGGACGAGCTGATCTCTGCACAAGGGCATGGAAGGGAAGAGTTGGTGCAAGAGGCAGCAGGGAGAAGACACACCTAATGAAAGAGTCACAGCATGTATTTCAATGCCCTTCAGGTCTAGCCTCCCACCTCTCCTTCCCTCCCAGCCAGCAGCTGGCAGCTGTGACCAATTTGCGTCTTGCTACTTGTCCTAAACCCCAGCAATAGAGCCCCCCTGGCCAGGTGTCTCCTGTCAACGCATGGCCACAAGGTCATCTTCTACTCCTCCATGGACGTCCATCACTCCTGGGACTTCAGGGTTTCTCATCCTCCTGCTAGTACCCAAGCCTTCTCATCTTCTTGCTGACTGCCCCAGAAGACCTGGTCCTCCAGCCTTGCCTGTCCCAAAGTTTACATCAAAGGCCCAGGACTCCTTCTAGCTCTGGGTAGAGTGTCCTCAGAATAGGGGAAAACAGGACCTTGGACCCAGTTTTATGCAATAAAATATCTGCACTGTTTGGAGAAGGTCTTTGTAATAAAGTTGGGATGAGTTGGGGCTCTTCATGGCTCCAACATGCGGGACCAACACCTGCTAGATCCAAGCTCAGGCCATGGGCTGCTCTGCAGAGATGCTCTGCAGGGACTACAGTATCTCAAGAAGGGTTTTTTTCAGACTTCCCAGGGGGACACAACACCCAAATTCAAAAGGAGCAGAAGGGACGTAGGACCATGACTCACTTCCAGAGCGGCTGTTTGTCCAAACTGTGAAAACAGCCCCAGCAGAAAAATCCTTGCCCAGAGCTGTATTGGCCGCGTCAAGCTACGACAGTTCACAGCATTTCCGTGCCGATCGGTGTCGGGAATCTCTTTCCGGCTGGCCTGTTTGTTTGCAAAGAAGGGGAACAAAGTCCTTGGGCTCACTGAACCTCAGTCCAAATGAATACAGTCACCTTTCCTGACTGCTCGACTTTTTATGAGATGAGTTTTGACTCATTTCCAGCCTAATTTTCACCCGCTCATTCTTGTACCTTTGTTTAGTACACTTCTTTTTTTCCTTTTGGTCTTCAGCCCTAGCTCTGCATGCCTCTGGGGTTTGGATTTCTCCTGTTTGATCTTCCTACAGGCAGCAATCTACTCTCCACTCTACTACCCCTCTCAGGTTTTGCCAGGCTGAACAAGTTAAACTCAGCCTGAGACCTTCCTGGCCATGCTGTCCTCTTCCCATTACATACTCCAGTTTTGCTTCTGATTTTTGCACAGACATGGGCAGAACCATCCACCCTGTTTCTGGCAGGGGTCACATCCTTGCCCAATGCAAGCTCCATCTTCAGTGCACCATGAGCACAGCAACCACCTTCGTCTGAACCCTCCCATTCGGAGCAACGAGTGATGCTAATTTGATGACCCTTTTGCAAAACTCATTTTTGCTCTGGCTTCAGGCCCTTTCCTTGCACAACTTCAGCGTGCCACCACGAAGGGATGGGAGGACAGCAAACTCTTCCATCCTCTTGGCATCTCAGGACATGCTTGAGGCAGCGATTTGCAAGGGACATGCCTGGAGTGTCATCTGCATAACAGCAATTGGGAAGCAAACTGCTAATCCAAAAGGGACCCTTGGGGTCTTGCAAGTGCAGCCACAGTAGGATAAGAAAATGGCAGTTCCCCTTGTTTTCCAAATCCGACTGAGCCGTTCAAAGCATCGCAAGGTGGGTGCAAGACCCCTTTCTCATGGTGTCCAGGTTCACCTGATGACAAACAGCTACAGTGCAGGTGCTGGTTCCAGCCTCCACAATAAAGCCATTTCCAGCCTTTAGTAACCTATTTTCTTGCAGTGGATGGTCCCTCACCCCCCAAAACCCAACCAGACACTTTCTAATGAAGCTAATGTAGCTCTATTTCCCCAGTTCTGTGCATAAAGGCTCGATTTGGCTTGTTGAAAGTAGATATCTTGTACCAGGATGCATCAGGGCAGCTGAGGTGCCCTCAGGGGCTGGCACGTATGAGACGGGACCCGAGAGGGTTTTGTTTGCTCCATGTTTTCCTGGAACAGCTTGCCATTTCGCAAGCCGATGACAAGACTGGCTGCTGCATGGGGCAGCGGGTCACCTCCTGGAAGAGCTTCACAGGAGGTGAAGCTCCCAGGGGGGAGCAGGGCGTAGGAAGAGGAGGGCTCACTGCAGAAAACCCAGTTTGCCCTCCCAGTCGGCCAGTGGGACACCGGGCTCAGCTGGCATCTCTCACAAGGACAGTCCACTCCAGCCTCCAGCCCGTGGCCAGGCTTCGAACGTGGGGATGCTGGGCTGTCTCCATCCCTCGTCCAGCCGCCTGGGGGGCAGAAACCAACACAGCTGCGGTGGGGCCAAGAGCATGGGGACCCTCCTCCTGATGGCATGCCTTTGGGGTGAGTGGCATTCGCCTTTGCTGCTGATCACAGGGAGCCCATTGGCTACATCTGCTCCTCTAGCCTGCTCAGCTAGCACTTCGTGGAGTACAGCAGAGGCTGGTCGGGCGTCCTGGCTTTCTCTTGGGGGTCTGGGGCAGGGTGGGAATGGCTTCTGATGGCTTTGGAGGCAAGTGAAAGGGTTTTTTACACTAAGTCGGGAGCTCAGCTATCTCTGCTTCACTCCAAGAGCCATGCATTGCAGGTCTACTTCTGCACACACGGTTTTGCCCCATAATCAAAGGCTTGTTCCCCATAATTTAAGGCTTGTGAGCATTACAAGAGTGGAGGGAAGCATGCCCCATCCTGAAGCTGTCTCTCAGCTGGCCATGGCCTCCTGCCCTGCTTTAATCTTGGCTTATCCCGGGCCGTGCATGGCAAACTCATGGTATTGCAGCATGGAGGGGGCTTGGCCAATCCCAACAGCACTGTGCATTAAGCGGGCGGCTCCCCGTACGTCAGAGGGGTGAGCAAGTAGGGACCCACATTGCCAGGACAAGGCTGGGTTGCTCATGGCTGTGCAGCATAAGGAACTGAATATTTGTTGGGCTAACGGGGCACACAGGCAAGATGCTGGTGAGAGACATGACCCTTGTGCTCAGGCAGAGCTGCGAGGAAGCCACAGACCCTACAGGTCCCTTATCCACAACCATGGTTTGCTCTCAGACGTGGGTGCAAGGCTGGGGAACAGCTCTGCTGCAAAAGCAATGTCATGCCAATGGTTCAACAGCAGCTTTGCTTTGGAAATGGTTAAGAAAGGGCTCAGGGCTTTGCCCAGGCTGCCCCAGCTCAGAGCAGAAGCTGGTTATTTGATTTGGGCACCCTTCTTAGTGCTGTTTCACATTTACAAAGGGCACGAGCAGAAACGCTCATCTTTGGATCAGGTTTGGAGCGAGCAAAATTAGCAACACGCTTTCTCTGCTGGTAGGGATTTTGTTTTAATTTCCAGGATGATTAGTTGCTAAGGCCAGTTTGTACCACTGCCTCTTGGAACTAAAATTTTGCTTTAACTCGCTTGGGTTTTCTCCTTCTTTGGTGATCTATTCACCAACAGTACAATCTTCCCACTTTTTTTTGGAAATCCTGCTCCTGGAAATTTCAGTACGGCATTTTCCTCTTCGACAGTCAGTATCTCCAGTCAGTATCTCCTGGCTGGTTGGAGTCACCTGTGCTGGGACTCGTCCATCCAAGCACAGTAAATGCACATGCGACCGGGCTGTGCTTGCAAGAAACATGCCAAGAAATCTATCAGCTGCTAAGTCTCAGCTGCGGGGCTGATTTATTGCTTATCCCAGGGTAGCCTCATTGCTCCTAGTAAAAATAAGGAAGGAGAGCAAAAGGCGCATGGGGAAAGGATGAACCAGAAGAGCCAGCCATCATCAGGACTGTGCTCTTAGCCCGGGGACAGGAGAGCTTGCAAACTGGAGACCGAATGCCTGCAATGCCTCTGGTTCATCCTCCTCGTAGAAGTGAGTTTTGAGGGGTGGCTTTGCAAAGGGGCTTCATTGCAAAGATGCTTTTGCAAAGATGCTTTATTGCAAAGATGCTTTATTGCAAAGATGCTTTATTGCAAAGATGCTTTCCTGCTCCCCACTGCACAGCCCGAATGAAAGAGCTGAGCTACCCACGCCTGCATGCAGCGTGCCACAGCTGCCCAGATGCTGGCCGTATTTGAATGACTCAGGGATTTGATTTTTAACCTGTTTCGTCCTCTTTCTGGCCCCTGTGACTTCCCAAGTGCTATGTCTGGCCCCTCGCTTGCTGATGGTCAGACCCGCACACAGATCAGTGCCTGAGCACTTTAGAAATCATTATCCATGGTCAAAAAGCTTATTTACACAATGCAATCGTATCCCTCTTGAACTTCTTTTACTGCTGACCCAGTTGAGCTCTCCATGTGACTAATGTCCAGCTACAGCTCCTTTCTGCACAGTCTCCCTTCAGTTAGTGCTCTTGCAAAAGCGTGCCTATGGGACCAGCAGCAGTCTCACGCTGTGGGTCTTGCACATTGCCAAGACCCTTAGTTCAAGCACTTTTCCACTCACCCCTGCAAGCTCGTGGCTCAGCTGGACCCCAAGGCATTACCCACTCTTGATGGTGAAGCTCCATCTTTGCTGCTGGCCGCTTGTACAAAAACTTGCATAAGCTCAAATACCCATTTTTTTCTGCCTATTACATGAGCAAGAAAAGGACTCTTGGGGTGTGGGAGCCCCACTGAGGTTAAGATGGTTAAATTCAGGTGTTTAGATGCAGAGATGGGGCTCAGTTGCCTACAAACAGATGCCCAGGGCACGTGTGGGATGGTCAGTGCCTCCTCTGAAACCCTTTTTGGGGAGCAGGAGCCATCTCAAACATGTGAGCAGCCGAGCCCCATTCACCCCCAGGATTTCAACTCCCCTCCTCTTTCACCTCCTGGCTTTGCAGGCACCGCTGCTGAGAGCCCAGGGGGGCTCCTTCGCCTGGTGGGCGGTCCCGGCCGCTGCGCCGGGCGGGTGGAGGTGCTCCACAACGGGACATGGGGGACAGTGTGCGACGACGGCTGGGGTTCCTCCGAGGGTCGGGTCGTGTGCCGGCAGCTGGGCTGTGGGACGGTGCTGTCGGTGGCACCAGGAACTCGGTATGGAGAAGGGACAGGACAGATCTGGTTGGATGAGGTCAACTGCACCGGGGAGGAAAGGAACCTCTCCGAATGCCGAGCCAGGCCGTGGGGGGAACACAACTGTCACCACGTGGAGGACGCCAGCGTTGAGTGCTCAGGTAGCCCAGGATGGCAGCGATCCAGCTGTGCACTACCTCCATCCCTGCATCCCTTCCTGCTGTACCGACAGTGATGCACAACCGTTCTCCAACTGTTCCCCTTGGGGCACCCGCAGACTCCAGCATCACCGCCCTGGGCACCCTCCAGCTGCTCAATGGCCCCAACCGCTGCGCCGGGAGGGTGGAGGTGCTCCACAACCACATGTGGGGGACGGTCTGCGACGATGGCTGGGACCTGGTGGACGCGGCAGTGGTGTGCCGGCAGCTGGGCTGTGGCACAGCGCTGTCGGCCACCAGCGGGGCTCACTTTGGGAGGGGCCACGATCCCATCTGGTTGGATGAGGTGAACTGCACCGGCACTGAGGACACCCTCTTCGACTGCCAGGCCAGCGCGTGGGGGGACAACAACTGCTTCCACGGGGAGGATGCTGGAGTGATATGTTCAGGTAACTCACCTCAAGGTGCAAGAGGGGTCAACATCAGACTTTCAGGGTTTCCTAAGGGATCGTGGGATAGCTCCTGCATTCTCCCCCAAGGCTGCTCGTCTGCGGCATCCCCTTTGCAGTGCTGGGAAGCACCTGCAGCACGCAGGCAGGCAAGTCGCCCTGCAAAGCCCTCACCCACCTCCTGCTGCCGTGAATCCAGTGCTAAGCTGCAGGAACAGCAAAGGGCCATTCGTTTGCAGTCGCATGCATGAATTACCGAGGACCTAACCCAAAGCCTGGTTTGCCTTGGGGGCAACTAAGCTGTACCATGCAAAGCTTTCTGCAGGCATAACTCACCGTCCCCAGTTCCTCCCCATCCAGCCAGGCCAGGTCTGTCTCAACCCATTGTCCACGATGCAGGGCTTTTGATGGAGTTTTTGATGCATGTGTAGCTCAGCTCTTTCATTTGGGCTGTGCAACAGGGAGCAGGAAAATGACTTTGCAATAAAGTGCTTTTGCAATAAGGTCCTGCACCTGGGTCAAGGCAATCCCCACTGCCAATACAGGCTGGGGGATGAAGGGATTGAGAGCAGCCCTGCCGAGAAGGACTTGGGGGTACTGGTGGATGAAAAGCTGGATATGAGCCAGCAATGTGCACTCGCAGCCCAGGCGGCCAACCGTATCCTGGGCTGCATCTAAAGAAGTGTGGCCAGCAGGTCGAGGGAGGTGATTCTGCCCCTCTACTCTGCTCTGGTGAGACCCCTCCTGGAGTACTGTGTCCAGCTCTGGAGCCTTCAGCACAGGAAAGACATGGACCTGTTGGAGCTGGTCAGAGGAGGGTCACAAAAATGATCAGGGGGATGGAACACCTCTCCTGTGAGGAAAGGCTGAGAGAGTTGAGGTCGTTCAGCCTGGAAAAGGCTCTGCGGAGACCTTAGTGCAGCCTTTCAGTACTTAAAGGGAGCTTAATAAGAAAGATGGCTTTTTAGTAGGGCCTGTCGCGATAGGACAAGGGGTAATGGTTTTAAACTAAAAGAGGGGAGAATCAGACTACATATAAGGAAGAAATTGTTTACGATGAGGGTGGTGAGACACTGGAAGAGGTTGCCCAGAGAAGTGGTGGATGCCCCATCCCTGGAAACATTCCAGGTCAGGTTGGACGGGGCTCTGAGCAACCTGATCTAGTTGAAGATGTCCCTGCTCATTGCAGGGGGGTTGTACCAGATGACCTTTAAAGGTCTCTTCCAACCCCCCTTCTATCATTCTATGATAAGATGACTTTGCAGTAAGGTGTCTTTGCAATAAGGTGACTTTGCAATAAAGTGTCTTTGCAATAAAGCCCCTTTGCAAAGCCACCCCTCAAAATTCACTTTTAAGAAGATGTTGAACATTACGGGCACTCGGTCTCCAGTTTGGGCACTCACCGCGCACGGAGGATGCTCAGGCTGGAGCAGAAGCAGCCGTGGCTCTCCCGGTGCACCTACCCTTGCGTGTCATTGGCAGCTTCACAGATGTCCATGGCCACCAAGCTCCGCCTGGTCAACGGTTCGACGCACTGCGAAGGCAGGGTGGAGATCACCCATGACGGCACCTGGGCAGCCCTGTGTGACGAGGGCTGGGGTCTGGCCGAGGCTCGAGTAGTGTGCAGGCAGCTGGGCTGTGGGAGAGCACTGTCAGCACCCGGCGGATTCCATTTTGGGCAAGGACCTGGGCAAATGTGGCCTGACAGCGTGAGCTGCGTAGGGACGGAGACTGCCCTCTCTGCATGCAAGACAAAGCCCCGGGGCAATGGCACTTGTCACCATGGGAGAGAAGCTGGCGTGGTGTGCGCAGGTAACCCTCTTGGGAACAACACAGCACGAGAAGTGGGGGGGGTCTTGGTCCATCACCTTGATTTTCCACCTCTGCAAGCAGCCCTAGACAATGTGCCCTCTTCATGGGCGTTTTCATCACGGGGGGTCGTGGGATGTCTGGGGGGGGCTGGAGAAATTTTGGGTGTCCTCCTGGAGGGGTTGGTGCCGATGCCATTGAGTGGGATGCTGCTGTGGTGCAGCTTGCAGCCTCTTGCCCCTCTGCCAGCAGGCACTGGGGATCAGCCATCTCCTTTCTGCGGTGATTGGATGAGCCTGCAGTACTTGGTGCAACAACCTGAGAAGGTGCCAGGGCAGTTTTCCTTACCCGGGGGTCGCAGTGTGCTGGCCCTTCCCCATATTTCCCTCTTTTAGGTAATTCAGAGGGCGACCAGGTTCGGCTGGTGAACTATGGCAGCCGCTGCGCTGGCAGGGTTGAGGTCTTCCATAACAAGAAGTGGGGGACCGTGTGCGATGACAACTGGGACCTGCTGGACGCCGAGGTCGTCTGCCGGCAGCTGGACTGCGGGCGAGCACTGTCAGCCCCCGGGGGGGGTCAGTTCGGGCGAGGGGATGGCATCATCTGGATGGACGAGACAAACTGCACGGGGATGGAGAGCACGCTGTCCGCCTGCCGGGCCCGGCCGTGGGGCATTAATAATTGCTACCACGGGGAAGATGCTGGCGTGGTTTGCTCAGGTGACCAATGCTCCTTCGGTATTGGTCCATGCAAGGTGGCAGGAGGGGGTGTGTGTCATGACAGCAGGTCTGTACCCCCAGGTAAGACTGGGGATCAGCATCAGCAGCCAGGGGGGTTTTCCCAGACCCTCTCTGCACCTGATGGTCCCATCGGAGGGCTGCTCTTCCCATTCCAAGGTGTTTATTTAAGGCGGTGGGAGGTATTCCTGCAGGGATCCCTATTTCCCACCCCTCTGGGAACCTGCCAGCTCCAACAAAAGGACCAACTTGTTGGGAGAAGCTCGGCGAAAGCAACCTGCCTGGCAAGCAGTTCTTGCAGGGAGTGGGGCTCGGGTCCAGGAGGATGTAGTACCAGCGCAGACCACCCTCTGCAGGGAGATGCTCTGGTGCAGGGTGCTCCTGGGGGGAGTTTCGGGTGGTGGTGGGAAGCCCTCCTGTTCTCCCCTCCTCTGTGCTTTTTGACAGCTTGAAAAGGGGACGGGAGCTTAATTGCAATAGGATAAGCATGGAGGGAAACCGGCCGCCGTCTGAAGGCATTAATAAATCTGCACGTTTGCAGACTCGATCATCCCCGAGCCAGCTCATCTCCAGCTGGCAAACGGCTCGCACCGCTGCGCCGGCAGAGTCGAGGTGTTTCACCAGGAGGAGTGGGGAGCTGTCTGCGACCGTGGCTGGGATAAGCAGGACGCTGAGGTCGTGTGCCGGCAGCTGGGCTGTGGGACGGCACTGCCGGCATTAGAGGGGGCAGACTTTGGCACCGGACCTCAACGCATCTGGCTGGACAACGTGAACTGCCAGGGGACGGAGCCAGACCTTACGAAATGCCGGGCAAGCCCATGGGGAGAGAGCAGCTGCAGCCACGGAAAGCACGCCAGCGTGGTATGCTCAGGTGGGTTTCACTCCAGCACCAGCAGTAGGTCAGGATGCACCGGTAATTTCCCCCATCCCAGTTGGGAGCAAGATGCCAGCTTCACCCTACTTGCTGCTGGGTCAAGTACCCTTAAACCCTTTGAGAAGTTCCTCCATGAGTTGGGGATGAGATGCTGCGGGTTCAGAGGAGATGTGACCACACAGCACCGGCTACGTGCCAAAACGCAGGGTCCTTCCTCCTCCCATGAAGTGGCTGGATGCTCTGAACATCTCCCTGACTGTTTGCAGGTTCGGCTGTTTCCACCTTTGCCCCTGTCCGGCTGGTGGATGGCCCAGGTCGCTGCGCCGGGAGGGTCGAGGTGTTTCACAATGAGAAATGGGGGACAGTGTGTGATGACAGCTGGGACTTCGTGGATGCCAAAGTGGTGTGCCGGCAGCTGGACTGCGGGACGGTGGTAACGGCTCCGCGGCGGGCTCACTTCGGGCAGGGACAGGGACCCATCTGGCTGGATGACGTGCGCTGCATGGGGACTGAGGCAGCCCTCTCCGAATGCAGAGCCAAGGGCTGGGGTGTCCATGGGTGCGAGCATGGAGAAGATGCCAGCGTGGTGTGCTCAGGTAACCACTGCCCATCATGGCACCGGGAGCACCGCAGCAAACCCCTTACCACGGTCCTCCTGCACTGGGGTTTGACTCTGCTTTCCCCTGTGGGTGCAAGGGCTTGCGACGCAGGAACAGTTTGCAGCCAGCCTGGAGACCCTATGCTTTGAAGTCAGCCGCTCGTGGTCCATCCTAGTGGAAGAGGGCAGCTGTATGCAGACATTAAAGTCCGAGAAAAGCAAACACTTGCCCATTTGCACAGCTATCGCTAAAAATACGGTCTCTGGCATGCTTTTGGCTGATGTTATTTATCACAAAACCTGGCAGTCAGCATGGGCCAGAGACCATTCCCATCAGGCAGATTACAACATGGCCGCCTATTTCTTCACAGCAGGGCAGACTGCAGTATGAATGGGTCTTCTCCCATTACAGTCAGGGAGGACTCTCCAACATCTTTGGTTGATCCATGGTAGATGTACCCCGTGATGCTCAGAGCTGCGTGAGCCCATGACAGCCCATCTCCCATCCCTCTCCCTCCTCTCCAGCTCTGACTTTCTGCCAGAGGACCCCCGCAGCCCATTTTAGTGACTGTTAAGAAGCTGGGGCTACTGTGTTGCAACCAGGTTGCTTTATATCAGGATGGACTTTGCTTAATATCCGGGTGTCACCGACCGAGACAGCCAGCGTTGAATTCAGTCGCCCCAGCATGGGAAGGTAGCATCTCACCCTAGTTGGGCTAAGAGATCCTACAGGAAAACCTGTGCCCTTCAGGAGCAGCAGCTGGAGGGCAGATGAGGTATCCCAGGAGTCCCAAAATGGCACAAGGACACCTACATCTTGGTGACTGGACCCTGCCCTGTGTGTCTGCTTTAGGAAGGCAAACTATGTAAGGTCCATTGACTACAGTCTGGTCAAGCCCATGCTAGTCAAGCCGTGAGCACCACTTGGGTCAGTTCACATCACACCTCAAAGGTCTGCCCTCTCTGTCGTCGCATGAGCATCCTTGACCCCCAGGGCTGCTCAGCCTCTGGTGTAAACCCGTTGCTGGCAGCTGGAGGTATCTCCTTAACGTGTGTACGCTCTCTGATGTTGTAGGATCAGGCATTTCTGACCTCGGAAGCCTCCGCCTGGTGAACGGCTCAGACCTGTGCTCCGGGAAAGTTGAAGTGTTTCATGATCAGCGCTGGGGGGGCAT